GAACTGCAGAACTGCAGTCAGCTGAAGTAGCCTGCAGTGCTGCATTTAACCACTGCGCCACCTCGGCTGGAAGGCTGAGTCAACACTGAGTCTACGTTCAACTATTGAACGCTAAACCAACAAAATCCCCAAATTAAACAAAAGCAGAGTTTTAGCTCGTAAGATTGCGTAGTTTAAAAATGGCTCAAATCTTTATGTAAACTTAAGAGTTTATAGGCTGTCATTTTGCTTCCATTTTCATATATTGCTTTGTAGCACACAGCAAATTTTTAAATGCCTAACCAGAAAAGTAGCAAAAATTAAGGAAAAAATAACTGAAAATAGAAGCTACTACTAGCGAAAGATAGTTAAGAATTTACAAAGATAAGATCAAAACTAATATCAAAAGAGATTAATTCTTTGACAGAGCATGCTCCTATTCACATGCAAACCATTATTATCTAAAGATCAATTATGGTACACCCCAGAATCTTTGTTAGCCAAAATCCTATTGGAGGCATCATTATCCAACTCATCCTCACCATTTAATTTTTTTTAAAGCTATGCTATTTTTTTTATATATTCTTCCCAAACTAATATAACATCCTACCTAATTATGCATTATTTAGCATTTATATCTGTATCTTGCTTTCTTTCCTCACTCTAAATGCATGTTCAAAAGCTTTACTAAATTGAAACATTGGAAATATATTTCTTTTAATAAACAGAGGGTAATTGCTGTTCTTCCATAATCTTAAAACTTGAGAGATTACTTTTACCATCATATTATTTTTCTTCTATTATAGACTGAGATCCTTTAAAAAAATGTGAGTAGAAGTCCCAAGCTCTTAAGATATCACAAAAGTCATAGAATTTTTGTGTTTTCAGAGTAGTTTCTTGAAGGGTTGTGAAAAATTGAAAACCTAGGAATATATATCAATGTCCTATATGTATTCTAAAATATCATGCAATAAATAAGTAAATTTTTATGATTGAATTTTTCACTACTACATTCAGTAGCTATCTCGTATAGTGCTACACTTTTCTTTTGATGTGAAGGAAGTATTAATTGCATATTCTGTACTATAGAGAGATGCGTATTACTACAAAAAACAATTACACCCCCCCCAAAAAAAATTGTTAAAATTTAGCTCAATACAGAGTTTCAAATTCCAATATTCTATAGTAAAAATCCATTTTTCTCTTGGTGACTTAGAATTTTCAGGCATAAGAATGAATTTTGATTGAAGAGAATTCAAAAAGAAAAGCAAGTTTTTAAAAAGCTTTATACAAACATTATATTACAGCAAGAATTCTGCATTAAAGTAATATAACTGTATATATAAAATTCCTGTATGTAGCTGCTGCACCAATTGTAAGAAGGGGTATATACATAGATTCAATGATAGTACATATGCTTTGCCTGCAGAAAGCCGCATATTCATTTTCTGTTATTACCAGTTAAACATTATTTCAGGTATCAGGAACACTAGTTTTTCATGCCTATTCATAATGGAAAGCCACTCTGTATATTCGTGTTTCTTAATATATTTAAGCTACCAAACCACCATCAAGATTAAGCTGAAATTCCACAATAGCTGTTGGAAGCCATTTCTATTAGGAATAAAACAAAATACAAATTACTTCTCATCCATTCGTCTCCGCATTTTCTTTAATTTCTGCATGATACTACTTGTCTCAGAGCTGGAAATGGAGGAAGGACTATAGGCCTCTGCATCAGACAGCTGAGGGCTTGAGGAATGCGTTTGTTTTTTATCCTCTTCACTGCGGTGCTCCTAAAGCAAAGAAAGAAATAGAAATCACTTAAGAATTCAGATGAAGACTGTACTAGGTTTTGAATCTGCCATATGCTCAGATGGGGCAATGAAAATTTCCTTCAGATTTCTGCAGAAGAGTTCTTTCTAATGCTGATAAAAAGGTTGAGCGTTATCAAGACAGCAAGCAGAGAACTCTTGGTGAATTTAGAAGCCTTCTGGACAGAAAGAGTACTCTAGAAGCAAATGGACAAGTTTTGCTTCTCTAAAATTGCCTATTTATAGGTTTCGAATTTGAAATTAAAGCTGGAAATTTTGCAGTATAACTTTTTATAAATATTATTAAATCAGAGTTTTTGATTCTAGTTCTCTAGATTAACTGTTTCCAATCCATTGTTGGATTGGATTGGATTTATTTCATTTATATGCCGCCCTTTTCCCCGAAGGGGACTCAAGGCGGCTCACAATTCAATCAGGGAAAGAGGTACAGACAGGGGGATAAAAAAGACAAGACATAACAATACAAAATTTAAAAACACACAACAACCATACCATTCGAGAAGGGGGGCAAAAACTATTTAGCCCCAGGCANCACCTCGGAAGGATGGAAAGCTGAGTCAACCTTGAGCCTGGTGAGATTTGAACTGCCAAATTGCAGGCAGCCAGCAGTCAGCAGAAGTAGCCTGCAGTACTGCACTCTAACCACCGCACCAGTGACTCATCTAGCAGTTTGAAAGCATGTAAATGCAAGTGGATTAATAGGTACCACTTTGGTGGGAAGGTAACAGTGCTCCGTGCGCCTCTGGCATATAGTCATGCTAGCCACATGAACACGGAAAATGTCTTTGGACAAGATATGGCTCCCTCAGCTAAGAAACAGAGATGAACACTGCGCCCTAGAGCAGGACATGATCAGATAGGAAAACCTTTCCCTTAAATCTGCAAAAGACCTTGCCTACATGCTCAGAAAAACCGATACATTCACTTAGTGACTGTTCAAAGATACAAAAGCACTGAAAGAAGTGACATATGACCTGTTCTCACATGACCGCTGCAGCATCTCCATGGTCACATGATAAAATGTATGTGCTTGGCAACTGGCAAGCATTTATAACAGATTCACTGTCCTGGGTCATGCGATTACCCTTTGTAATCATTCCACCTGGCTTCCGACAAGCAAAGTCTATGGGGGATGTCGAATTCACTTAACAACTGCATGATTCACTTAATAACTGCAGGGATTCTCTTAATAATGTGGAGAAAAAATAGTAAAATACTGCGTAATTTCTTTAACAATTGCCTTGCTTAACAACACAAATTTGGGGCTCAACTGTAGTCATAAATTGAGGTCTACCTATAGTTTCATTTCAACTATACTTAAAATATTGTTATGTTTTGAACTAGATCTAAGAAGAAAAACTGAAATGCAAATAAATAAATAAAATGAAGGCACTATATAAAAATGATATGAAAAGCATAGAGAAAAGGTATTGAAAAGCGAAGAAAATGGGGGAAAATAAAGAAAAGATTAAGCTAAAGAGAAGTTAGGCAAAAGGTTTGGAGTTTTAAAGAGGATTTATGGGAGATTAAGAAGCAAAATAGGCACTGTAAGTCTCTTTTAGGCATTCAGTTTTACCTGTTAAAACACCTGAACCTCGGTCCCAAGTTGGGCCCTGTCCCTACCCATTTTTTAAATACAGCCCTGAAATGACTATTTGACTTGAAGATAATGAATTTTCTCTGATCCTTGAATAAGGTTTTAAATATTAAAAAGACTGGAAGTTATTATCCTTGGGATTCTCAATTTCACATTCAAGATTACTCCCATCTGTTTAGGAAGATTTTCATGGGTAGAAAATCAATAGAATCTCAATTTCTCTCAAGGTATCATTTAAAAGTTAACCTCCAACACTTCTTTCCTAACAGTACTCAAATAGCAATAGCAGTTAGACTTATATACCGCTTCATAGGGCTTTCAGCCCTCTCTAAGCGGTTTACAGAATCAGCATATTGCCCCCAACAACAA